AAAAAAAAAATTAAAAAAAAATTAAAATGTATTAAAAAAAATTAAAAGTATTAAAAAAATTAAAAAAATTATAAAAAATTAAAAAATTAAAAAAACAAAACTGAAAAAAATTTTAAAAATAAAAAAGTATTAAATATTAAAAATTAAAAAAATGTATCGCAGATGCAAATTTTTACATTTTTAAATTCTTGCATTAATATCAATTTACAACTTCTAATGAGAACATACATACATATATAATATGTAAATGTAAGACAAAAGTTGTCAATTCTTTTGATGTCATCATTTTAAGTTTCTGAATTTAAATTAAGTTATAAATCGTAATGTTTAATATTTTTTTAAATATCTGTACTTTTTTGTTTATTGTTTACTTTAATTAAAGTAAGGCGTTTTCAATTTTTTTTTATAATTTTAATATTTTTTTTCTGTAACTAATGACGGTGTATGTAATGTAATAGTGAGTGAATGTGTGAGCGGTTTTCCGCAACATTTTTTTTTAAACAAAAATTAATATCTCATTTTTTTTTTTGTTTAAGAAAGCAGCACAAACTACGTAATTAAAGTTTTTAAATATAAATTCTTTTGTCTATTTTTTTAATGGTGACTAATTACATATAAGTTTTCCTACTATAAAATGTTTAATATTCAAAAGAAAAATACACAAAATGAAAGATCTCTGTTGTATATAATGAAGCATAAATATGTTGCGCAACAAAATGTAATTACGAAAATGCAGTGAATAATGATGAATAATTAATATTATATAGTAGTGACTGTGTTAATTGGATGAACTAAACAACAACGAAAAAAGTGTTAAGCAAGAAATAAAGAAAAATAGTCCTTACTATGGCTTACGATTTTTTTGTTATTATCTTACTACTACTATACAATTAATTACTAAAGCTTTTTTGTAGTACTAATCAATCGACTTGGCTTTACTTAGACTTTTTTTTTTGGTCTTGGGTCCTATGTACATATATACAATACATGGTTTTGCTTTTTTTTTGTTTTGTTGCTGTTGTAGCTATGTTTGTTTGTTATAACAGTTTTTATCGCTTTGGCGTCGCGAACTTGTTTAACTTTTTTCTGAGTTAAATCTGTTGAATTTATGCAAATATCGTAAGTTTTTAGCTGTTTAGTTAGGAGGTAGAAAATAGCTTGTATGATATTTTTTTTCAATTATTTATTATTTACTATGTTTTATGTTTATAATACAAATAATATATCCAGTAAATTTTCTTATAACTTTTTTCTTTACTAAAAATTAAAAAAATAAAATAGCTTTAACTGTGGATAATAATTACTAAAAAGGAAATTGATGCATGGCTTTCATAATAAATTTTTTCGCAAAAAATTAACTGCTTTATAAATGTAAAAGAGAACTGTTTCCTTATTTTTAAAATATATATGTATGTCTATACGTATATATTGGGTATGTTTTGCTTTCCTAGTTTTCCACACATAATTTTCTACATTTTGTTTTTTTTTTATTATATCTTTTGAAATAGCAAATACATATAAATTGGTATAATAAAATAGTCTGAGCGAACTAACACAACAATGAAATGAAATAAATTTATATCCCAATTTCAAAATGACGATTCTGAATCTCACCGCATAATAATTTTGTTTGTTTATCTTTTATTTTTCTTTAATTAATTGCTCGCGCGCAGATAAAAAACCATCTGGCAAATCGAAAGATGAGCAAATGGCGGAGAAAAAACAGGAGTTGGAAAAGCGGTTACAAGATGTCACCGGTCAACTGGGTACCAGCAAGAAGACAGCCAAAAAAGGTGAGGAATTTTGTCACCTTTTATATTTTTTAAAAACATTGAGATATTTTATTGTTCTGTTTTTTTTTTCGATTTGAAAAAGTAATGAATGCATATGTATGTGTTGAAAAAGTGTTTAAAAAAAAAGAATTAAAAACCAGACATATATATATATTTGAAAAAGTATTGAAAAAATGTATACATATGTACGTGTGATTTGAAGAAGTATTAAAAAAATTAAAAAATTATATATATTTGTGTTGAAAAATATTGAAAAAAAATTTGAAAAACCATATATGTGTGATTTCGAAACGTATTAAACAAAAAAACAAAAAGTTTACTTATATTTTATCAGTAATAGTTTTTATTAAATAAATTTAATTTTAACCTCTTCCATTTCCTTACAGACGAATCATCATCGAATAAAGTGGAAGCGGCACCGCCCACGACTCGCCTCTCATCCAGTTCTAGTTCCAGCGATTCATCATCGTCCAGTTCAAGCGATAGCAGTTCCAGCGATTCGAGTGATAGCGAAGCAGGTTAGAGCGCATTTCTTATTATTGAATTTCAAAATTAATTTATATTATTCAGCAATAAATTAAAAAAATATCAAATTATGGCAAAATATCGTACACAGACATATTTTACGATTTTCTATCTGCAAAAAAAAAAAATACTAATTTTTTCTGACGTATTTAATAACTAGAATTTGTTGAAAAAAAACTTGAAATTTATTCAATTGAATTTTAATTCGCGTTTAAAGATAAAGTGAATTTTATTACCGTTAACTTAAGAGTCACTTACCTCAATAATAATACTTAAAATATTCCAAAAAAATTTTTAACAATAATTTTACCATCAAAGTTTGTGTATTATTTCGCCAAAAGAAAAACAATAATTGAAAAAAATGTTTTTCAAAAATACTGAAAAATGTACATATTATATTTTATTCCTATTTATGAACTTGATATTTACCTCATGTACAAGTGATTAAAATTTACATTTTTAAACCCATGGGTATATTTTAAATATTTTTTTGATTATAAAAAAAGTTTTGAACCCAAAACAAAAAAAAAATCGTGAAGCAATTGTGTATTGGGGGCAGCCAATCAGAGAGCGAGTTCGAGAAAGAGAAATTGAGGAAAAAGCGAGCGTAAGCATTTAATTTTTCTTCCTCTTATTAAACAGAGTTTTGGGAGCTTGTTCTCGACCAAAAAAAAAAGAACATAATATTTTAAAGAGTGTGCAAATATTATAGCAATAACTTGAAAAAATATTTTTTTTTACGTGTGCTAAATAAAAATTAATTGCAAAACCAGGATTTTCATGCATTAAAATTTTTTTTTATTATAAAAACACAAAATGTGTAAATAATAAATGTTTAAAAGTAACAACAATATGGCGAATATAAAAATAAAAAAGTGTAATGTTACGTATGGTAAGCAAGAGATAATATTAGGACTGTGTAACTTTAGGTGCTTAATATTAATTCACAAGATTTATGTTTGCTTCGTTTAAAATTCAATTTTCTAATTACGCACTGCGTACATAAAAAGAACTTTAAATAAATTTTTTCTATTTTTTGTATATGTTTTATTCCTCTTTTTTATTTTATCTCTGCATTTTATTTTGCGACTTTTTATAATTCAATTTTTTTTTAATTTAAATTTTTTTCTTATGTTTAATTAAAATTTATTGTTCACTTCGAGCTATCTGATGAAACGATTGTTTAGTTTTAATGTAAATATTAAAAATTAAATATAAAATCAGGAATTGAAGTAAAAACAGCAAAATTAATCTGAGATAAATATTATAGATTTCCATAAAATAAATAAAATGTGCTACAAAATAAGAAAAATTTGTATTCGATAAGAATGTTGACTGAGCTGTTGTTTTCTTAAAACAAACATATTTACATTGACACATTTTGATATTTTCATTAACGAAGAAAAGGAATCAAAAACTAAAAGCCGCTTGGCTAGGGTCACGATAAAACAATTTTTTATAATTCAACAACCTCGTTATTTCAAGCTGCTTCCTAAACTACTATTTTCGTTGGTGAAAAAGTAAAGAAAAATAAAACAAAATGAAATGCCAAAAATCACTAATAATTTTATTAATTTATTTCGAAGTGCGCACACGCCATAAATATATTTAAAATCAACACTTGCAGACAATGTGTAAAAAACTATAAACAAAATATCAAAACATGCCAATTCAACTGGTATACACTATAGTGCTCCTCCTGCGTCGTGACACTCCCGAAAGTTTAGTACCAACAAATACAAGAGTATAACTTCTAAGGGGTCAGCGTTGGGCAATTTCTCGTGAGTTTTTTTTCTTCATCGTTTGACATTTATTTAATTTAATTTGGCGTTTTTTTACTTGAATATTTTGTATTTTTTTTTTTGTAATAATTTCTTAAAAGGCTTTTTAATTGTTTACCACTTATAAAAAATAAATTTTCCATTTTTTAAATTCTAAAATTCATCAATTCAATGCAGAGCTCGTTTCATAATTTTTAGAAAAGTGTTTTGAAAATTTCTAAACTATTTGAAAAACATAATATAAAAAAAAATTAAAATATAAAAAAATTAAAAAATTTTAATATTAAAAAATTAATTTAAAATATAAAAAAAATTAAAATATAAAAAAAAATTAAAATATAAAAAAATTAAAATATAAGAAAATAAAAGTATAAAAAAATATTAAAATATTAAAAAAGTATAGGACAATATAATATAAAAAAATTATTTATAAAAATAATATAAAAAAAAATAATATAAAAAAAATAATATAAAAAAAATAATATAAAAAAAAATAATATAAAAAAAAATAATATAAAAAAAATAATATAAAAAAAAATAATATAAAAAAAAATAATATAAAAAAAATAATATAAAAAAAATAATATAAAAAAAATAATATAAAAAAATAATATAAAAAAAATAATATAAAAAAAAAATAATATAAAAAAATAATATAAAAAAAATAATATAAAAAAAAAATAATTAAAAAAAATAATATAAAAAAAATAATATAAAAAAAATAATATAAAAAAAATAATAAAAAAAAAATAATATAAAAAAAATAATATAAAAAAAATAATATAAAAAAAATAATATAAAAAAAATAATATAAAAAAAATAATATAAAAAAAATAATATAAAAAAAATAATAAAAAAAAAATAATATAAAAAAAATAATATAAAAAAAATAATATAAAAAAAATAATATAAAAAAAATAATATAAAAAAAATAATATAAAAAAAATAATATAAAAAAAATAATATAAAAAAAATAATATAAAAAAAATAATATAAAAAAAATAATATAAAAAAAATAATATAAAAAAAATAATATAAAAAAAATAATATAAAAAAAATAATATAAAAAAAATAATATAAAAAAAATAATATAAAAAAAATAATATAAAAAAAATAATATAAAAAAAATAATATAAAAAAAATAATATAAAAAAAATAATATAAAAAAATAATATAAGAAAATAATATTAAAAAAATAAAAAAAATTAAAAAAAATAAAAAAAATTAAAGAAAAAATAAAAAATTAAAAGAAAATTAAAAAAAAAAAAGTTAAAAAAATTAAAAATAAATATAAAAATTAAAAAAAAAAAAACAAAAAAATAATAAATTATTAAAAAAAATAAAAATATTAAAAATAGATATGTACATTAAAAAAATAGAAATATTAAAAAAATAGAAATATTAAAAAAATAAAAATATTAAAAATTAGAGAATATTAAAAAAAAAAAAATAAAAATATTAAAAACTAGAAACTATTAAAAAAATATTAAAAAATAAGAATAAGAAATATAAATAAATTAATAATATAAAAAAATATAAATTAAAAACATAAAATAAAAAATAACCAAAAATATGTTTGTAAATTAAAAATAAAATATATTTGTTAATAACAATTTAATTATTAAAAAAATAGTTGATAAATAATAGCAATATTTGAGATGATTAACAAGTTTTGCAAATATATATCATATCAAAAAATATTAGTCATTAAAAAAAATATTTGAAAATAAAAAAAATTTAAATATAATATTTAAAAAAAAAAATTTGTAAAAATTGTAACGAAAAATGATGAAAATTAAATTTTTATTTTAATTTTCAGTTAAACATTTCTAAACCTATAAAAAAGCACATAATTTGAACAAAAAAATTTTCATTGATTTGGGGTGCCTCTTACAGCTGTATAGGCTGCATAATATCGAAATAATATTGTAGAATTTTTTCCTGTTACGGAGATAGGTGGTCCTTTTGTATTGTATGCATGTATGTGTGAGTATGAGAGAAAGTGTAATGAAGCTTTTGACTAGGATTTTAGGAGCATTTCAAATAATCGCTGATTTTAATGTGTTAATGGTTCATTAAGAACAAGAAGAGATCGTCTGTCTGAAACGTCAACTTAAGTTCGCTCAACGCGCGGTTTTAGTCAAAGTCGTGAGAGATAGAATGTCTATGAATTATGACATTTATAAGCCATTTGTTTGAAGTCAGTCCCTGGGGTTAGTCAGATAAAAAACTGCAGAGCAAATCGTTACTATTCCCAATACTTTTCGTCGTATTATACAATTGGAGCTACTGATGAGCGGCTGTCGTGTCAGTTGTACGCAGTGATTCAGCAGTGGAAGGCGGCGACTTAATCCTTTACGACATACGTACATACAACATTAATGCAGCAGAGACGTTCGAAGCTACAATACATCAGCAATATATGTATGTTTGTAGCAAATGAGTGAAGGATAAAAAAATGCTAAAGCAGCGCTATAATGAAGAAGAGTTCAAACGAAAAATGTACATAAGAGAATATGTATGTAATTTTTTTTTTAAATCGAATTAAACTAATTTCGGCTGTCGGCTGTCGGCTTTCCCCTTTACACATTGTTTGCACGTTTTTTGCTCAAATCAATTAATTAAACCAAAGCTATGCATACGAAGTAATTTAATTAATTGAACAGATGATTGATATTGATTTTCATTTTTGTTAAAAAAAAAATACAATAAAAATACAACCACTATAAACGGTTACAAGCGCAATTCCTTCAATATAATAATTATTATTTTTTTTTTAATAAATAATCGAAGTAAAAACGATAAAATAAACTTATGCTCTTGCTTTTGCCGCCACTTTTGGGCATAATAAATACGCGTGTTGAAACGAAATTTTACAAAAAACTAATCAAATAAAACCGTTATCAGAAAAATTTAAACAAACAAAAAATATACATGTATTATTATTTTTTTTTTTTTGAAATTTCAATTTTAGCTTGAATATGTAAAGAGCAATAAAAGCAATGTTATGCAGAAGCAGTACGCAGTACAACAACAACGGTGTTTACACACTTCCAAGTAAAAAGTAGAAAACGTAAAAAACACGCCGAAAAAAGAGTGTACAAAGAGCGAAAGAGAAATAGAAAGAAAGAAGTAAGTGGTATTGGGAAGAGAGTGCCAGAGAGCAGTATTGTGAAAAGAAAAAAAGGCAAGGAACAGCAGCGCTACGCAACATGAACAAGTCAGTAACGGCAAAGGATCAAATAGAAAAACCAAACCGAATTTTGGCGTACGCTTTTGAAGAACAGCGGATATGAGTTTTTATTTTTCTTTTTTTTTTTTTTTCTTTCTCAAAGAACTCTCTGAAGCCATATAAGAACCAACCATACACATGTGATCTGCGCGCTACACAAGCATATAAAACGCGCATGCGCAACTCTCCTGCATGCCTCTCTTCCCACAACGCTGACCACGCAGCAAACAGAGAAACTTATGTGAATTGAAATTGCAAAAAAAAAAACAACAACAGTCACTCAACAAAAACAGTATCTTCTAAGCGTAACCATAATTTTTTTTTTATATTTAGTTTGTTATGTTATGTAACGGTAAACAAGCATATGTAATTGCAAAATTCTCAAATTTGTTTATAAAGTCTATACGGCATACGCGTATATGTATGTATGTGTCCAGTTGGCAACGCGGCAATAGTTGAAAATAATGTTAATAGCTATAGCAACAGCAACAACAACAACAACGCAACTTGAGTGAGAGATTATGAAAATAATAATAATAAAAGAGCCTAAACTTTGAACGACGTAAAAAATACGTAAGCCAAAGTTGTGGCAGTGCTCTCCGCTAGAGGGGGAGAGGGAGAGGACATAATGGTTGAAGAAAGACGTGATTCAGTCAAACAAAAAAGTAAATGAAAATACTTTAAATGGAAATTAAATTTTCGCTAATGCAAATATTTAACTAAAATCATTTTTTTCTGTTGAAACAACGGTAATAGCAATGAAAATGTAATAAAAAAAACTGCATTAAAAACAACAAACACACCAAGAGCGAGAGAAAGAGGGGGAGAGAGAGCAAGGGTGTAGAGGTTAAGAGTGCGGAAGTAACTAATTTTTTTTTGGCAAAAAAATGTGCGTGACAGCTGACAGCTGATAGCAAGCTATAGCTTGAAGCTATTTCTTACTAAAAAAAATACCGGGCAACGGTTTAGACTCCAGTTCGTATTTGTTTATATGCAAGCAGGTGTTAATTTTTGCTGCAGATTAATAGAACATTTTTAAGCGCCTTAAAGTATGCAATATTAAAAAAATGCACATGTATTTCAGGAAATCTCATTTTCAAATGACATTTTAGGCATCCCACTTGACATTTTTAGGTTTTTCAACAAAAAAAAAAATAAATAGATTTAGAAAACTATGCTTAAAATGAAAATCAGCGGCTTAAAATTGAAAATTAAACAAGAACTTATGAGCCTACAGCACAATTTTTACCTAAAAATATGCAACGCAACAGATGACCAACGACAATTACTCATTTTGTAGTATCTTTTAGGTGCGCGAACATTATTTTAACGTCTTCTGCAACAAACTAGATATTTTAAAACGACAGTTTTTGAAATTAATTTATGCAAAAACTTTTGAACAGTGAAATTGAGTTTCTTACAATTATAATCAAAATTTTATATCACAATACCTCTAATTCTTCTTGTTGCACATCATTATTGCATTTCTTCAGTCACAATCTCTAACAGAATGTAGGCATTTACCACGCCTCATCGCTCTCAGTTTGCCTCGTTTGTGACGCGTGTATTTTTTTTATTTTTATTTTTAAATGAAATTAAATGATTGGGTGAATGAAAGGCGAAAATATTCTTTCATAAAAAATGTCCTTAGTTTAGTGCCGTTTGTCATTTTTATCACAATACATACATATATATTTTTAACTTTAAGTTTACTCTTTTTTTTATCACATATGTAGTTGATAATGTTGTAAAAAATCATGATTATTTTTATCTTACCATGAAACATAAAACAAAGTACTTTTTTCTGTATATCGAAATAGATAACTCAAAGTTTACAGAAGAAAAATGCAGAAATACATAAATAATTATAAATATGTAGTTAAACTAAAAAGCGTGCGTATGTAATGATGATTGTTAGCGTAGCGTGCGACTCAATTTAAATTAAAGAAATTTGCAAAATAAAATAAAAAATATAACAAATAGAATAAAAAAATTTGAGAAAACTGTCGCGCAAGCTTGAAAGAAATGTAAAAATAAATATAATAAATATACATATACATATATATACAAATAAATATATATGTTAGTAAGAAATAAACAAAACCATTGTGCGAATTATGCATTGCTAAATGAGCAAAATTATGGCATTTTTCGGCAGCTGCCACATACTCACACACAAGGAGCACATAAATACATATACATATATACATATACAAATACTACACCCATGCAATATATGCGAGCGCTTGCAATGCGCTTGTACGAAATTTTGCATGTTTTCGAAAGTTCAAATTTCATACTGTCTGACAACAACATACACGTATGTGCATACAAACATCATATGTATTGTATTATATATACAAAATATGTAAAAGCAAACTCCATTTCACTAAAATGCAATGAAAATGTACGGTTCTTTGTTATTGTACACACATTCATAACACACATTAACAATAATAAATAAATAAAATTTCTTAAAGAAAAAAAAATTCAAAAATTGCATTGAAGGGGTGAATATGATGAAAGAGAAGAAAAGGAAAAAAAACACAATTACATTAAAGTTTTGCAATTAAATTTTAAGCACATAAGCAAGGAAATACAAACAACGCTAAAATGGTTTATATGATTTTTTTGCACTTAAGTTAATTAGGAATAATAGGATTTTTTAATTTTCTGCGTGAACCCGCCAAATATAAACGAGGAAAGAAATGTATGAAAATAAATTAATTGTTTATAAATATTGAAAAAATCGACTAATTATTACAACATTAAATATACTTATATGTATGTATATGTATGTAGTTTAAAAATGATTTTTACTTGACTAAGAAATTGAAAAAAAAAAACGAAATAATTGCATATACAAAATTTAGTAGAAAGAGTATAATAAAAAAAAACTTAAGATTACTTGAGTAAATTAAAACGTAAACAAGGAAACAAATATGAAAATGCATAGTAAACTGAAATATTAAATATTTGTATTATTTATTTTTCAAAATTGCTAAAAAGCAGCATTATTTTCTTTACAAATGTAAGATTCTAAAAATTTATTAAAATTGAATTAAATGAAAAATAAATATAAAGTAAATGCAAAAGCGCAAATCATGTAAAAGCAAAAACAAAAATGGCATAGAAAATCTTACAATTCAATACTCCGACACAAAGCATTAATATAACAAACAATCAAGCTGTCACACACATACACACTAAAATATAGAGACTCGAGTAATTTTTCCAAAATTCATGCATACAATTGTCAATAGCGAATAATAAGAACAAAAGCAAAAATTTATAGCAGACAAAATATGCAATGAAAAATTCATTTAAAAATAAAATAGTTGCTGATGGTAAATAAATTAAATTCATATATAATATACAAAACAATTCAATATTCTTGAAAAAAAAAAACAAAACAAAAACAAAAATAACATAAAATAATTCACTCCAACACATTAACACTACAGCCACACACAATAAATAAATAAATACATACATACATCTTATATATTAATATACATATACACAATTCCATTGTGTAGACAGACAAAAAGCAAATATGTTAGTAAATAAAAATTATTAAACGCCGCGAACGGATTCATTTGTAACCGTTGTAGGCTATGTAAGTGAAAAAAAAACACACACACAAGCAACAACAAAATACTGAATAAGTTAAAATTATTGATTAATAAATATCATTAAAAATGGAAGTTCACAAAAAATAAAACAAATGTGTTCTTAATTGTCAATTATTATTCACTGCGTGAATTAATATCGTAGCAAAAAATGACAAAATGAAAACTCGCTTTTTCCACTACGCTCCCTCCCATGCACATACATACAAAGATAAGGCCATGGTTAGTTTATGCGGTTTTTCTTTTAGATACATTTTCAGTTGCTGTTAACAATATTTAGTTTTCGATTATTTTTAGTTATCGACGATTAAAATTATCGCTAATTTTAGGAAACGATAATCTTGATTTACCGATACGTTTAGTTAACGATGATGTCATTTTTATCAATATATCAATATTTATCGATAATTTTGGCTGGCGATAATTTCAGGAATTATGCTTTTATTTATCGATTGTTTAATTGATCGACACTTAAGCTAACGATTATTTCGTTTATTAAAATATTTAATTTTGGTTATCGGTACTATTAGCCATCGATACATTTTAGTTAACGCATATTTCATTTATTGAACCATTTATTTATTCTTGATTTTAGTTCTCGATAATTTTAGTCATCAATATATTTTAATTAACGAAAACTTTCAACAACTATTTTTTGTATTTATCTATTGTTTTAGCTTATCGATGAGTGCCGATTATTTGTTATCGACAATATTGATTATTGTCTATTGATAACCTTGGTCATCGAATATTTTTGATTAACTGTAATTTTTAGTCAGGCTTTAATTAATTGCGCATATATAATATATGAAATACCGCTGATTTTCTGATGGGCCACTTCGAAACACACAAATTGCTTCCGACGGGGGTTGTTCACTAAAAAAGAAAATATAGAAAATATTGATTTACACATTTTTTAATATTGTTTAATTTTGGAAATATTTATATTTTGCATGGCATAGGTGATATCGACAATCGTCCACCGAGAAAGAAGAAGTGCCGTGATTCAAGTGGTAGCAATAATGTAAGTATCGATAATTCTTCCAAATTATTTCAAACGTTACAACACACACACGCACACACACACACACACACACAAACAACCACAATAGTGTTGCTCCAAAACATACATACATTTGCAACCCTTTCTCCCCGCTATATGCCTTGGTGTGTGTGTGTGTCAACAACAACAATCCCCCGTGGTCTTCAAATTAATTAATTTATCGATAACTTTTCTGTTCTCCACATTTGTTTTATGTTGTAATTTCCTTCCCTACTCCATTGTGCAGGTAAATAATCCAACTGTAGCACCCATCACCACCACGACTGTCGGTCCAGCAACAGCAGTTACTGTTGGTGGTGGCATTGGCGTCAATGCCATAGCAGGCGCTGCTTCAACCTCAATTACGTCCACTATAGCCGCAACGCAACAACAAGGAGTAGGAGTTAGCGCCACGCAGCAATTGCAGCAACAAATTCAGACTGCAATGGCCGGTGCGCCAGCCACGGCGGCGGCAACAGCACAGAGTACGAACAGTTTGGTGCCGTCAATGATCGCGCCCACATCACAGCTGAACGCAATCACCGGTGGTAGTGCAACACAAAGTAAGAGCAAAGTAAAGGGTTGACCAAAAATTTCATTGTACGCACGAGGGGGGATAAAGAGCAGATATTGCACACTAAATCAAAAAACGTCTCTAAAAACTTCACTACTCTAAAAACTCGGGAAGTCACTGCCAGATTTCCACCTTTGGAAGACTGTGATTTATAAGAATCGTTTGCAGTCGTTAGATATATATCCGTGCTGTGAACTAGTTTATGAAAAAAAAAAAAAAAAAAACATTTTGAAAACTTTTGAGTTATGACGTTTTTGGATTTATGTGCGATATGTTAGATTATTTAATGATTGAAATTTTTTTTTTTTATTTAAAATTAAAAATTAAAATTTTGAATATTTTTTTTATCGACTTTGTGGCAAAAATATCGATCTTTATTTCGAAACTTGCTGAAATTTTTACCGGTTTCTGAAATAAACGTTTTAACGGTTTTATATCCGTTGAATTTGTTAAGTATATTTTATATATTTTATCTCAGTCAATTTTTTTTTTAGAATATTAAGAATTAATTTTTTAGAAATTTTTCGTTAAAACCACACCATTTCCCTTCTTAATTTTTGCTACGCCTACTTCGTCTTCATGTCTGCCACCACCAATCGCCAACCTTCGTACGTGTAATTTGGTTTTGTTTTTGTTGTACAGTGAGTGTTCCACCCACAACAGCAGCAGCGACGCTTGCAGGTGCCGCGACGGATCCAGCCATGTCTGCTGTTGCTTTACTTAACAACAACAACAGCAGCAGCAGTAAAACGTCGCTCACACCGACTTCAGTTGGCAATCCGCTATTGAGTGCCACGAGCAGTGCTGATGTATTGAGCGGCCCCACGGCTTCGGCCGCAAACTCTCTAACAACCTTGAGCAACAACATGAGCGCTATTGCCAGCAACGGCGGAGGCAGCAACGGTCCGAATGATTTGTCTATGCCAACGGCGTCTAGTGCAGCCGCATTACTCGCCTCATCTGCAAGCGTTTCGTCGTTGTCTGGCTCCCTACTTACCACATCACAAACTAATATCGGCGTTAATAACAACAATAACAATAATAATAGTAACAACAACAACAACAACACAACTACCACAAACATTGGCGGCATACGCGTCGCCAGTAATTTACACAAACTGCCACCGCCGACATCGATGGATGTCGCTGATGCGGCTGGCGGTATTGGTGGCAGTCTCGGTATTGGCACACTTGCCTCGAGTGTGGCCGCTAACCTACTGCCACCACCGGCTGCCGTCGTCACAGCGCCCTCGTCTATGGCAGCGTCGGTGGTGCCCTCATCGGGGGCATCGTCTTTGCTCACAGCCGGTCTCAAACAAATACCACAATTTGATGATCCCGTTGAACAGTCGCTGGCCTCTCTGGAACAACCACTACTATCGGCCGTATCCGGCAAGAGTGTTGCGGACAATTTCCTCATGAACGCTCATCTGCTGCAGCAACAACACCAGCAACAGCTTACACACGGCAATCATGGACAAAATGTGGCGGCGCAGCAGGCATTCGGCGCTCTGCAGCAAACACATCCGCACCAGCAGCAACAGGGCTCAGCACAGCATGCACACGCCGGCAATCATCATCACATGGATCTAATGTCGGATCTGTTATCGAAGAACGCCGTGGATAATGTTGCCGGCATGAATGGCAACCACTTCCCTCTGATGCAGCTCGGCATTAACGAGGGCCTGAACAATCGCATTAGCACGATGGCAGCGGCGGTGGCCGCGCAACAATTACAGCAGGCCATGGCGCACCAGCAGCAACAACATCATCAGCAGCAGCAGCAGCATGTACACAATAACGGTTATAACAGTGCTGCGGATCGTGCATTGGATAGCTTGGCATTGGCCGGACTGGGTATGCCACATGGCGGTGCCGGCGGTGCCGGTTCGATATTCGACCAATTGAATCCGATGTCTAGTGGGTCTGAGTTTCTTGCCATGGTGATGACCTCGAGTGCAGCAGGCATGGCTGGCAATTTGTCCTTGTCAAGCGGCAAGAAAGATGCAGCTAACGCGCTCAGTTTGGCCGACCATCAACAGCTGCTGCAGTCGCAGCCGCATCCGCCACTCCAGCAGCAACAGCTGCAGCAAGCCAATAAGATACTAATCACACCCAAACCCATTGAATCAATGATGCCTAGTCCGCCAGAAAAGAAACAACATTCGCAACAACAGCCACAACAAGTCGCGCCGCCACAGCAATCGCCATCCGATCTGAAGATACCCACATCGGCGGCCATGGGTGGAGCCAATGCTCTGAGTTCGAACCAAGCAAATTTCGCACAGGCTTTCAAGTCGGCGCACGAACAGAACCTGAAAAATGCCAGTTCATGGTCATCGTTGGCGTCGGCCAGTTCACCGCAGAATACGCCCACTTCCAATAAACCCAAACCCGCCATGGATTCGTTCCAGCAATTCCGTAACAAAGCCAAAGAGAAGGCCGACCGCCAGAAGTTGCTCGAAGCTGCTGAGAAGGAGCAGAAGCGGCAAAAGGAGGCGGCCGAGAAGGAACAGCAGCGCAAGCAACATCACAAGCAGCCGTTGGGCACGCTTGGCCTCGGTGGCGGCGTAACGGGCAACGGTAGCAGTGCCGTTGGTGGTGCGGGAGCCAATGTTTTAGGCGTTGGCGGTGTTGGCAGCGGTTCAGTTGGCGGCGTTGGTGGCGCCAATAGTGCGGGTGGTGTTAGTGGTGGCGGTGGTCATCATACATCCGCATCATCTGCGGCACTCTCACAGGCATCGCATTCGCTCGGGCACGGTCACGGACATGTGGGCCATGGTCACGGGCATTCTGTAAGCAGCAGCGGTGGCGGTGGACATATGCATACGACGGCAGGAGATGTCAGCATGGAAAGTGGAAGGTAAGTAAAGTAACCCAAAAAGGAATAACGAATTATTGCGAAAGATTTTTGAAAAAGAAAAATTAAAATAAAAATCGTCTTCCTTTTAGAAAAAGTGTTCACGACGTCACACAAGTGCAGAATTCACGCGTAGATGACATCAAAGCCTCACCGCAAGGCAGCGGCTCTCCGGCTGGCACAGCACAACAATCTCCACAAGATCGCGCTGCAGCAAAACGTGCAGAGTTGCGCAGGGCAGAGCAGGAGCGGAGACGACGTGAAGCGGTAAGTAAAATAGCTAAAAATTATGTTTTACTTTTTTCCTTATTTTTCTTTTTATTTTCTTTTCTTTTTTATTCCTTACCTATTTTCTCCTGTTTGCTTATTTTGATTTCATTTTTAATTTTTGATAAATGTACCTACACTCATATTTAATCCGATGATTAATTTCTTTTCCAGATGGCTGGTCAAATTGATATGAATATGCAAAGTGATCTAATGGCGGCCTTTGAAGAATCGCTTTAATAAATAAACAATCCCAACAGTGTTGTAGAGTAAACTCAATTATGTATGTAATCAATACTGCATAAAAGAAAAACAAACTTTATATGTATATATATACATGTAAAATAAAGAAAACAGTGCTAACCTAAAATAATGCAGGTTTGTGATCAATATATATGTAATGATAATGTATAGAATGAAAACCTAGCGCAATGTGTTGAGAAACAACAACAGTAAAAACAATAGCAACAAGTGTAAAATACAATAATAAAAAACTAGGCTGCGCAGCGAATCCTATTTATGTCAAGGGGGGAAAGCGGCATTTGAAGCATCCCACAATGAACCCAAATCCAAATAATTTAAGTGGAATTCGTAGTGCTGATGTGGGGAAAAGTGTTAAATATATTTAAATGACTATTGAAATAGGGATTTACATACACACACACACACATACATACATACACACACATACATACATACACACACATACATTCATGTGCTGTTGGCGATGAGAAGGAGTCAAGAAAGTGCAGAAGAAAAAGTAATACTTTAATAATATATATATATATATATATATATATATATATGTATATATATATTTAATAATTAAATTTTAATAGCATGTAAGTCAAAGCATGGTTGGTTATAATGGTCCGGTACGGTACGGTACGGCACGGCAGTTGAGTGTTGTAAAAGCGTTAAAGGCAGAAGAAAAAGGATAAATTCGCAACAAATGAATTAGAGCAAAGAAGCAATTCATTTCCTTACTATTAATTTTAGCAATTGAAAATGGCAAAGATGTAGAAAAGATGATAGCATTGAAGATGAGTATGTGTGCAGCAGTGGTAGGTGATTTGTTGGTTTGTTTTTTTTTTTTTTTGCATAGAGCAAAAGCACAACAACAACAGTTGCCGCTAATAAATAATAAATATAAATGATAATAATTAATAAAATGTTAATATGCAAAAACAACGGTAAAACAGTTGTAATGTGATGTTGATATGATATGATGAAGAAAACTCACATAGACAAAAGAATTAATATATACATGTATGTATATTAATAGAAATAAAATTATAGCAGCATTTGTTTTCTAAATAAATATCCATACCCAAACACACACATGCACTTACGCCCAAAACAAGTGTTTTTTTTATGTTTACATATGTATGTGAATATAAATATGTATATGTTCTAAATATTGTGCACATATACCCATATTATTTTAATGGCTTGCTCTAACTGTATAAATGCAAACAATAAAAATCATTAATATACACTTAAATATAAAAATAAATACATATATATATATATGTACATGTATATTATAAAAAGCAGGAAATTACAAATAAAAAGAAGAAAAAACAATTATATAAAAACAAAACAAACAACAAATATTAAAATAAGGGCTATTCTTTCCTTTTATTACTGCAGCAGAAGAAGAAGAAGAAAACAACAACAAAAATTAACACTTGATAAATAGAGAACAAAAATAATAATAAAAATCTAATTATAAAATATAGAGATAATTGTAATGTTTATAAAAAAAAAATCATACAATCATATAAACATACATATAATAATGTAATTAAATGCCGTGGACACACACAGAAAAATTATGTAAACGTATACAAAGGTAATAAATGAAAACACAAAAATTTAAATTAAAATACAATTTATTTAGTATTTAGTATTTAATATAAATAAAAAATAATTATGCTAAAAAATCTAAAACATGTGTACTTTTAAGTGGAACTAAAATTGCTGCTGCAAGGAAAAAAATTATAAAAAAAAAATTAATGACCGTTAAATACAGCAAAAACGCATATGTTCATATGTAGTTCGACATAGGTAAGTGTGTTTTTTTTGGCGAACAGGTGCTTTTAAAAAATATTGCCTTTGGCAATGGGGAATTTTCTGTATTATTTTATTAGCACATTTTTAAGTTTAATTTTAATAAAAAAAAATGTGGCTTGTAGAGCAGAGCATGGCGTCTTGATATTATATACATACGCACATATTTTCTTTTTGTATTTTTTTTTTTTTTTTTGATTCTAAGCACTTTTTGAAATCTTAATTTCATTTAAATAATTTAAGATTAAATTTCATACCTAAAATTTCTAATAATTCTAAAACTGAGATTAAGTTTTAATAAAAAAAAATAAAGTTTAAAGCGTTTAAAATTTATTTGAAACTATAAAAAGTTAACGAAATTTAACAATATGCAAAAATAAAATATAATTTTTAAACCAAATCGGCATGCATAAATAAATACTATTAAAAAAGTTGGAATATTATATAAACAAAATAAGCATTTTATTTAATTTTATGTTTTTATTTATTTAAAAACAATTGAGAGTTGAATAATTTGCATTTGCGGCCATTCTTTTATTTGTTGAAAGTATTTTTAAATAAAATCCTTTTTCGTTTATTAAGATTTATTTTTTACATTTCTTATAAAATTTAATTTCTGCAACAAAAACTTTCGTTTTGCTAAAAAAAACTGTATGCTATGAAATTTTTTATTCTCGTTTATTTATATTATTTTTTGTTTTCGCCAAATTGTAAAACGGTAACTATATAAAATTTTTTTGGGTTTTGTTTTTAATTTTTAATTTAGAACTAGAAACATTTTAATTTTGGGAATAATTAATTGAGAAATTTCATAATTTTTAAATTAAATTATTGTATTTTAACTTTTTAAATTTAAAATTTATTAAGTTTTAGTATATAACGATTTAACTGAAGAAAATTAATAAGTTTCCCTTAAAATTTTACTTTTTTTATGCAACGCCTAATTTATTATTTGCTTTTTTTAAATTTATATTTATTATATTTTTATTTTTGTATACATTTTTATATTATTTTTTCACAGAGGAAAATGTGGAAAATTTTTTTAGCCACAAAGTTTATATTTGGTTGTTTGAAAAAGTGACAAAAAGAGAAGAGAACAAAAAAGAAGAATTTACGTTATAAAAGTTAATTAAAAAATCTAAAATTGAGAAAAAACTGCATTATGTATGTGAGCCTGAGAAAGGTAATAAAATGTTATTAAAAAATAATATTGTAATTATAAATTATAAATTATCAAAGAATAAATATACATTTATTTACACATATGTATGTACATGCATGTATATATATATGCACATATAACCTATAAATAATATGAATGTGTGCTAGTAATAGTTTATATTCTTTTATCATAAAAAAAATTTATATATAATGTAAAAATTATTATGAAAAAAAAACAGCTGATTATTAGTTAAAAAATCAGAACCACAGTATATGTATATACTTAACTCTTATTTGTGTTTCTGCGGAGTTTAAAAAAATTAACCAATTTTATAAAGCCTACCATACAATAAATAACTTTCAATAAACACCAAATGAAACTGTTACGTACATAATTTTTATAGCCACGGCGTAAATTGCCTGTATGTATTTATAGGCAAGCCTTTTTTCTACAGCGTCCAACAGTAAATAATATCAAATAGTGTAATAGTGTAAAACAATATTAGATATTTTAGTTGAAAACTAATAAAAAAAAAGAGTATAAAACATATATAAATAGATACAACAAACCAAATATATGTAATATATACAATTTTTTTTTTTTTTCAAAGTATACCCTCATAAAAAATGACGATCAGTTCTGCAACAAAAAAATATTTAATTTCATTATTTTTTATTTTGTGTTGAAGTTGTTTGAAGCATATTGTTTGGTTTATAACTTTTTCCAACTTAAATATATATTTTTTTTAAATTTATTAAAATTTATCTTTACTTTTCAATTCTTTAACTATAGTTCTTAATCATTTAATTTATTTACATATTTTTAAATTTAAATTTTTGAACAATTTTTACTTAGACAAATAATGTTTTTAAGCTATTTAGGCATTGTTTTTTTTTATTAATTTTGAATTTATCTTTCATAACAATTAACATTGTTAAACTTTTATGTTTTTTTTACCAATTTTTTTGTTTTTTAATATTTTTGGATTTCCAAATTCATCTAATAAAAAATGTGAGTTTGACAATCCAGTTTCTATCAATAAATATGCTCATTAACTAAATTACTTTTCAAACGGCATGTTGGTTTTATGTATTATTTTTAATTCTTAAATATAACATTTTTCCAAGAGCAAAACCTAATTTACTTTAAACTTAACAGATGAGATGGCAATTGTGTACTATTCACAATGGTTTATTAATGATCTGTTATTATTTCTTTACGGCATAATTACTTGGGCAGCTGGTTATGGTAAAGTTAATGATGACTTTTTTGTAATTATTTTTAATTTTATTTTTAATTATTGATTTGATTTTTAATTATTGATTTTATTTTGTATGTCCTTTTTTGTCTATAAAGGCTTTTTTTAATTTTTATTTACAATTTTCACTCTCTGGTTTACTCTTCAGATTTTCAATGAAGAGCAATGAATAATAATAGTAAGTGAAAGTGTATCGATAATAAATAAATAAAAGTAAAAACTCGACTTACTACACACATGTAATTAAATATAGATATTTGTTGTATTTTTGTTATAAATAAAAAATGTAAATTAATAAAGAGATATACATAAATAGACTATAAAATGTGAGTGATCTAAAACGTATAAAAATCTTTAAAATTAATTTAAATGGAAAATGTAATAAATATAATACAAATTAAGCAGACAGAAGTAAATACAATAAAAAAGAAAATATTAAAAACAATAATATATGAAACTAAAAAAAATTACCGTAGTTACGAATTACTGTTTGTCGTATTGGCTGATTAATGTAATTGAAATTTAAAAATTTAAAGAAATACAAGAAATAAATGAAAGCACATAGAAAAATGTGACACTGTGCGGCGTAAATTCATTATTTAATCAGAGAACCTAGAATATACGTTCTCTTTCTCTGATTTAATTACAAACCAAATAAAGAAAAATCATTAAAATCTCGATGACGTGCTTTTGTTTTCTACTCGTTGTCGGTTTTCTAATTTTAAAACAATTTTTATGTTATTTCAATGGAGTACAGAGTCGAGGCAAAATACAACAACAACCAACTATAGATTTGTAAGTTAAATTTATAAAGCGTTGCTAAAACTATACATACATACATACTTACAGATATTAGTACTAAAAAATTACAAAAGCTAGAAATTATGTATGAAAACTAAATAATAATTATTTAACTGCACATAACGAAGAGTAATAAGTAAAGATTAAGAGAAAGTAAATAAAAGCAAAAAAAAAAATCATAAAAAGATAAAAATTGAAAATAATAAAAAAATGTCGCTTTTTATTCTACTGTAAAAGATTGATAAGTGGTCACCATAGCAGAATGGTTAGCATTAGGTTTGTTTATTGAGACTGAAAATAGGGTAGAGCAGCTCATGCAATGCTGTGGCACAGTTGGTGGCGCGCAGTGGCTACATACAGTTTTGGTATTTTTTCTTCTGACGCAAGTTCAAATTCCTATCGAAGGAGACAATATCATTATTTGTAATAATAAAAGATCATAATATAATGAACAAAGAATACAAAAAATTAATTTATAAAATATATTTTATATGATGAGTAGCCTAGTTATTAGCACCTGCGTATGTATTTTGTATTTTCGTTTTTTAAATATTAGTTCTATCTTTTTTTTTTAATTTTTTAACTAAATAATAGCAAAACGCCATATGAAAAAGAAAAAAATTAATGAATCATTTGACTTTCATTGAAAACTGTTAGTTTACAGCGAAATTTTAACAGAGTGGTGAATGCCTTTCCCGAGATTTTCTAGCACTGTACAAACAGAGAACGTAAATACAACGAGAAGGTCCAGGGCAGAGAACGTAAATACAACATTGGGTAATGTTGTTGGGTTTGTTTGTATTTACGTTCTCTGGTTCGAGTCCCGGCCCTCCGAGTGTATTGCTAAAATTTTAAGGCGGTTTAGAATAAACTGTAGGTTCGTCCATTTTTGGAAAGTAGGTCGGCCAAAAATAAGTTTAGCGCTTACGAAGCGCCAATTAGAATGATAATAATAACCGCCGCGTTATTGCAACCCTATTTATTTCGCTACACTTTTGCTGATGCCCAGCTGATTTTTAACAAGAAAGTTGCAAATTATTTTGCGCGGTATATGTACATACATAAGTGGAATTTAAAAATTATTATTACTTTTCAATTATTTAACTGTTATTTGCTTGTTATTGCGAAATAAAAAACTCCGAGGTGAAATAGTGGTTCGAAGAAGAATTTGATTAATGATTGAAATTATAAAGAAACGGTCAGCGCCAGGAATAAATTTCTTCCAAAAAAATCTGTCGTACATATTCGGATGTGTTGTGAAGCATTTGTTGTAAGTAATCTGATTTTGTTTTTGTTAATTTTGTGATCCAGTATTTATTGTTTTTAAGACATAAAAAGCCTTTTGCAATCGTGGCCGAGCAATTTCCAAAAACCTTTAAATACCAAATGGAATAATTTATTGGGTTCCACAAAGAAGAGCGAATAAACATTGAGAAATCTAAAGAAGGTTGGATCTAGGAACTCGAATTCGGCAATAGAAAAGAGAAATAGCTAGCTCAATCAGACACTGGTGAGAGTGTCAGCATTTATTCTAATCTAATAAAACAGTCTCTTGATTAAAAATTAGTTCATCATTTATTTACAAATTGAAAATATGTATGTAATAACTAGACATTATGATCTTCCCAATTAAAATTTAATACGGATGCGTTTGACGCCATTTAAGCCTACCCCTCTGCCCATTTTTTTCACATTCAGTTCACGCGCTCACCGCCTTCGATGTGAATGCGGCCAGCTGCTGCTTAAGTGTCGTTATTTGGGAGAGAAGTTGGATATTTTGACGTTCTAAAAATGCAGCACGTAAGGCTATTTCGTCTTCCTTAATGCGACGACGATCGCGTGATTTCTTCGCCGCAGCATTATTTTTACGTCGCCGCTCATAGTAAGCAGCATCCTTTACTTGTCCACCCGATGAGCTGTTGTTGCTTGCGGCATCATTCTTATTATTGTCATCATTACTATTACTATTATTAGTTTCCACTTGACAACCGGTAATGGAGGAATCGCAATCACTTGATTCGTCTGCTCCAACACCATGACGTTCATCACCTTCACTGTTGACACACTCAGCTGCATTATTGCTGCCACTGCTGCTGCGTCGTGTGTTGATACGACGCATTTTGGGATTGGTGACAGTCAGTGAGCCACCATTTTTTGTTTTCATTTGTTTCAGCATGCGACTCCGATATTCCTTGTAGCTTTCAGTACGCGGAATGTCCAGAAGTATATCTGTGGCGGCGAAATTGGCAGCTATAACGAGGGGATCGCGGGGAAAGGCTTTGAAAGGACGCGTCGTCGTTTGCAGCGCTCTTAAGACATCGCTACTACTGGGCGTGCTGGAATTTGTTGGTAAAACATTTTGTGTTGATCTTATGGGAGATCTACTACGCCCGTCATGACTTGAGATGGGCGATAGTGGTGCAATGCACATATCTTCCGACTTGACACTGACGTTGTGCCTCGTACTGGCGGTGTTGGTCGCGGCTGCGGTGCCAGCAACAACAACAGAATCATTAGAGATCGGTGATGTCTGGGGCTGAGGGGAGAACAGCGGTGTGTTAGAGGATGGTGGTGTTAATGCTAGTGCTTGCGATGGCGTAGTAGCTGCTTTGACTTCTTTGGATATGTTATCGATTGAGTTGTATAGCGTAGGGTAGAAGGGGCCAAACGGACCCATTTGATGTTGTGCATTGTAAAGTAAATTGACTGGTATTTGTTGTGGTTGTTGTGATTCTTTTTCTTCTCCGTTATTGGCGTAGATATGGCGTGATCGTGCTGGCGATTCGGCATTGTCCCAATTTGTCTGGTAGGAAGGAGGTGTCTTCGGCATTGTTGACGTCGATTCAAAGGACTCGCGTTGCGAGAGATCGAGCACTTCGGTTGCTGATTGGTGGTGGCTGACAATCAACTGCGCTCGTTGCTGTTGTTGGTAAGCGTAGGCGGAGCAGATTTGCTCAAATGCAACCTGTGGAATGGCGGAATTATATAGAGTTTGTTGTGTGAGAGGATGGCCTGCATTATAGCCTGGAACGTGTGTATTGAACCATGTTTGCCCATGTTGTGCATTTGTTGAATGGAACAAATTATCTATAGAAGAGAAGAGAGAAATTATTATTATTTACAGAAGTTTCGTTATTTTTATACTGATTTACTGATTGCTATTCACAATGAATAACCAATCGTTAAACTGCCACTGTGTAACACAGAAAAACTAGCAGAAAAAATTCTTTAATATTTTTATTGGTTAAAATATTTTTATGTTACAAATCAAGGCGAATTTATCAAGGTGAAGTTGTATTTGTTCTGCTCTTATCTTTTTTCATAAAGTGAGTAAAATCAGCAGTCCAAATATTCTTGAATTCGCTTCACAAGTTGTATTTAAACATTTTCAAATAATTCGCTGAAATATTAGCAGTTTTTTTTTTTTTTTTTTTTGAAAAAAATATTACTTTACTGACCTTTTTTTCCATCGATTAAAAATTTTCCTGTTCCCATTTTTTCATGAATCATTTGTTCTCAATTTTTAGTTAATAAAAGCGTTTGTTATAGCGACTAATTTATAACAGTCTGGTATTGTGGTGCAATCTTGGAAATCTAGTTTTCGAAAATATGGCACACAACCTCGTCCTTATACGTCCGTTTAAAACTACTAGCTGTTTGAAACTACTCGGCATACCCAAACTTCACCCTGCTTTTATATCTGACCCTCTCACGAGTGCCTATTTGTGCATGAGATTTTATGTAATGTAGGTATATGTGACCTTTTGTTTTGTTATGGGTCCCATTTTCCGCAAACTCTTTGTTTTTTTCATTGAGCTGCCGCCGCCGAAGCGATTATGACGAATGACAATACATTGATTTGTCACAATGACATCTTGCCTGGCATCTCGTTTTTTCCAATTGACCTTTCATATCTTATTTCTCTTTCGACGCCGCTGACTCTCTCTCTACATCTATTTTTGAAAGGAATCCTATGAGGAAGAACGACCGAGTTTGCATCATACATACATATGTACATGAGTATTTTGTTTACAATTGCAATGCAAATGTAGCATAATGAACGGTACTTCATATTGCAAACATAACCGTCCATATACATACATATGTATGTGTTGAGTATATGTATGTGGTGGTAGCTTATGAGGAAATCTGCAATTGAGTGATGTTGATAGTGGTTGCACATGGCTCTCTTGCCTAAGTGCTCTCCTATTCGACCTGTTTTCGTGTGTTGAAAACTCTTTCTGCTTTTAAAGGGGTTGCTTGCTTAGCTGTGGTATTTTGAATGGTGTTTAATGGCACAGTTAGTGTTTTTGTTGAGAAAAATATTTTCTCCCACACTTTTCAACCCTAAAAAAATATGACTATTTTAATTTCATTGCGATGTATACTTATACAAAATGCACAAATTGCTTAAAGTATTTATTTTTACGAAATTTTGCACGTAATTGCAGAGTTTGTAGCTTTCGTTTTCTGTAATTTGATTTAAAAAAAGTTACAGCTAGTTGTTTGAGAATAAAAAATGTTCTGAACTCTTAATTAAAATTTTTGTCGGGGCGGTCCTTGCACGCCTAATATGATTTATAAAAATTCACCTTTCATGAATAGCTGTTGACGCAATTCGCTCATTACTGTGAACTCGACTTCATGCGATAGAATTGAGCTTACGCCATTCATAAAGAAGAAGAACCTTTATTATTTATTATTATTTGTTAGTAAATAAATGAATGAAAAACAAGTACGAGTATCTATGCTCATAGGTACGTGTATGTATTAATATTCGGTTTTTATAGCGTAATCTTTTTGTAACTTCAATTTTAACGTTTATATCTATGTAAATCTGAGCAAAGATTGTGGATAATATTGAAGAAGGCATTTATAAGAGGAGATGGATAATCAAATTTTAACCCCAGCCAAGGCGTGCTATGAACATTTTGCCCTCAAATTTTGTAATGGAAAACATTTCAGAGTTCTTTGTTATTGCACCACTTCTTAAGTTCAGGACACTCGCTAAAAGTTTAATAATTAAACATTTTAAAACTTTAAGGCTCCATAATGGTATTTTGTTCAAATTTAAATATGTAACAACTTATATATATATATACAAATAACTGAATATTATCAGTACGTGCGCAAAAAGCTCATGCGCAACTATCCATATAACTCTGCTTTTTCTAGGGTTCAGTTCATGGTCGTATCCATGATACAATAAAAGGAAAGTAGGTTTTTATTACTTTATATCTTATTTTGATTTTAACTTCAAGATAATGCCACGACAGCGGAACCTTCGACCTTGAACACACCACATTGGACCTAATATTGGTCATTTTCAGATAGTTTTTGGGAAGACGTAAACATTTATTGCTCTTCATAATACGAAAGAAATAAATAAGTAAGGGTCAATATGAATAATACATAGAAACATACGTATAACGGTTTCGAAAATCGTAATAATTTTTCCTATATGCCCAAGTTTCTATTCTCTTTTTCTCTGACAAGAATGTCTAACAATTTAAATTTGGATTCAACCTGCCTGCGTTCGAGTATGTCCATTTAAATCGAGGTCATCGCAAAAGACAGCCTTTCGCGATTCGCATTACGCGGTATTCACATACTCGGACATATTGAATGAAATGTTTACAAAACAAAGAGTCGCGCCCACTTGCCTTAGTTAATGTAATCGCAACTACCGCCACTGTCTAAACGCTAACTCAGGCCATTTAGTATTGTATTTGTTAAGCTATTTGAATGTTTGTGAGGTGAGGTCTTGTAAACGCCTATTCTTGGTAAAATTTCGCTAGGCGAGAGAGGTGGGAATCTTCTTTTTCAGATTTTACTGTAGTTTCTCTGAAAACGCTTACATAAACGTTAAGATCTGACTTTTGGCCTGAAGAGCCTTGGCAGCTAAAAATAAATTCAGGTAAACACTGCTTGAAACAAATATTTTTTACTTAAAATATATATATTATATAACTGTACAATGTTTACTTAAGAAATATAACAGAGGGGACAGTTTATTCTGACTTCTACTATATTCAGGGAAATGAAATGAGGACGAAAAATAGAAATTTCGCTTGAAAGTGCTTTATTTTAATGCGACTGGTTCAGGGCGCGGTATAGAAGTATTAAGGCCATTTAAGAATAAGGTTCGATTTAAGTGCATAAAACCCATGGTCGTTTCCACCAGGTACTTTGAAGCCTGAGGGATTCCTTTTAGCAAATTGTTATACAGACGTAAGTATTTGCAGGCGTTCATTCACATAGAAATCGGTAGTCGGGAAAGTGAAACATAACTGACACCTCTTGTGCGAATGTCTTAGAAATAAAATAAATTGAAATAAAATAAATTAAATTAAAATAAAAAAATTTTAAAAAAATTTAAAAAAAATTTTAAAAAAATTTTAAAATATATAAAAAAATATAAAAAAAATTAAAAAAAAATATAAAAAAAATATAAAAAAAAATATAAAAAAATATAAAAAAAATATAAAAAAAAATATCAAAAAAATATAAAAAAAATATAAAAAAAAATATAAAAAAATATATNTAAAAAAAAATATAAAAAAATAAAAAAAAAAAATATAAAAATAAAATATAAAAAAAATATATAAAAAACTATAAAAAAAATATAAAAAAAATATAAAAAAAATATAAAAAAAATATAAAAAAAATATCAAAAAAATATAAAAAAATATATAAAAAAAATATATAAAAAAATATAAAAAAAATATATAAAAAAAAAATAAAAAAATATATAAAAAATAATAAAAAAATATAAAAAAAAATATAAAAAAAAATAAAAAAAAAAAATTTAAAATATAAAAAAATATAAAAAAAATATGAAAAAAATATAAAAAAATATAAAAAAAATAAAAAAAATATAAAAAAATATAAAAATAAATTAATCAAATATCATAAAAAAATGGATTAATTAAAAAACACAAAAAAAATTAACTAATTAAATATGAATTAAAAATTAATTAACATAAAAAAAGAAAAATAAAATAAATTAATTACTTAATTAAAATTAGAGCTTTTCCTAAGCGGTAAAAAAGAAACGAAATAAATGAAGCGGCTAAATTATCGTAACCTTCATATTTACTCTTCCTCAGCATTGCTGTGTTCAACTGTATGTACATATGCATGTATGTATATATGCACATATATACATTTCTTAACTCTTTCAAGCAACCTTCATTTAATTGCTTACTTTTACTTTTTTCTGTTTGAAAAAAAAAAAACATAACAGTCGCTCTTTTTAAAAAAAATTTCATGATAACATTTTTTATAAGAAAATATTGTAATAAAATGAGAAAGAGTTGTCCCTTACCACTATCCATTTTCTAGGAACAGACAGACAGTTTACATAAAAAGAAAGAATTATTTTCCAAGCACACTTAACACGGTATTTGTCAACAGCTACTTCCCGACTAAGATGCAATTTTTGTGCAATCCTTTCGCCGACCTTGTACCTGAACGCACGCACATTCGCTTAACGTGGTAAAAAAAAAAAACAAAAAAAAACAAAAAGAAAAGGATAGACAATTCTATATTTGAGTGAAATGAAAAAAATGAACATTCCTGCAATGCAATAAAAATAAAAACTAAATGTATTTACATACAAACAAATATTTTGACATACACAACAGCTTTGTTCGGTCAGAAAATGTCAGTAAAAATTAGACTGTTACGAAATTGAGAGAGTAAAATGCTTTACTATGCCAAAGAAGGAAATTTATTTTGTCGGTTACAGTGGATTCTGTTCATTTTCTGATTTTAAGTATTTTAATTTATTAATTGCATTAAAATTTATTATATTTCAGCAAAAACGGAATTCCACATGCTTTATAACCGTCCAAGGATAACGATGCCAATATGGTTTCTCTAATAGATTTCAAAGATTTATGTAAAACTTGCGTTGCAACAATTTTTCGCTTAGACTTTCAGGAAGAATGATTGAAATACAAATAAGCAATATTAACTGAATTGTAGAGTTTCTTCGATTCTGGTTAAATAAAATCCAAACAAGAGCTACATTTTTCCCTGTAGACGCAATTGTTACTCCCTAGCAGGTCACTGAACAGACCTAATGTATTGAGTTATGTTGGTAAATATTTTTTGATTTTTGTCTACCGCTACGTAGGGTTTTACGGTTTTTTCATTAAATAAGAATTCAGTATTTAAATCAAAAATCATTCTTGACGTAGCAAACGTGAATAATGTTCGGAGGAAATTATGCAATTCTCAATGTCTGATTATCCATTGTGAATAGTGTACAACAGAAGAGTAAAACAGCAAAGAAAATAAATCAAATATTTTTATAAGAATATACACATTTTATAAACTGAGTACATTAAAAATTAGTTGTGAGAAATAGGAATGTGTTCTATTTAAATTACTGAAATATTTTAAAGACATTTGTCTGTATGTCAGTAGATATGTATATATGTAGAAGTGTAAAATGTTGTAGATTGTAAACTAAGGCACTAGAATTGTATGAAAATTCGGACTTTATATTGCAATATTTTTAACTTTTTATGAAGACTTGAAGTGTCCTGCATTTCGCTCATATTGCTAGGCTGCGCCTCCGCCAAGTGCTTGCAAACAACACACAATTTTTAGTTCCCCAAGCGCCTAAGCTTGTTTCAGATTTACTATAATTTTTTGGTACTTCAGTCCGAACACTGCTAAAGAGATGTTAGTA